TATTTAATCCCTGTCAGTTTTTATGATCATATTTTTTATGTTCCATGTCCGCTCCTCAGTTTTTACATCTGAGCTGTATTTGAATAAATGTATAAAACCTCTCCCTCTCCACATATTTTCTATTCTGTGCCTAAAAACCTACTGCCATCTCAAGCTTCTTAAATACCAAAAATCATCTGTTGAAAGCCTACCACTGATTAGGTACTATTTTAAACACTTTGCATGTATTATTTCATTTAATCATTTTCAAGACAGGTTTTATAAGATGGTGAAACTGAGGTTTATGATTTCAACTAACTGGCTCAGAGAAGCATGGCCAGAAAATTGCCCATATCATTTTTGCTTTCCCATACCACCCTTCCAATGCAGGACTTCCCTGTTCTCACCTCTCAACCATTTCCCGACTCGATTTCTGACCCCACCACACCACTCACACTGTCCCCATTATGGGACCTCCTAATTTCCAGATTTGACAGACCCCGTTTTATTGGGCCTTGTTTTATATTTCCTCTATTGACCACTCTTTATGTTGAAAGTCCCTTTGGTTTCATTGCATGAAACCACTCTCTCCAACTTCTTTAGTTTCCTCCCAGGCTTCTCATTGGCTTATCTTTTTTTTTTTTTTTTTGAGTTGGAGTCTCACTCTGTTGCCCAGACTGGAGTGTAGTGGACGCTCCTGGCCACTGCAGCCTCGACCTGCTGGGCTCCGGCAATTCTTCCACCTCAGCCTTCCAAGTTGCTGGAACTACAAGCACGCGCTACCACGCCCAGCTAATTTTTTGATTTATTGTAGAGATGAGGTCTCCCCAAGTTGCCCGGGTGGGTCTTGAACCCGCAGGCTCCAGCAATCCACTCACCTCAGCCTCCCAAGGCACGGGATTACAGGCTGAGCCACTGAGCCCAGCTTTTTTTTTTTTTTACAGGTCCTTTCTATTTTGTGATTTCCTGCCTTGAATCCTATGTCTTCTTGTTCTACATTCTTTCCCTGAGTGAATACCTCCACTCTCATCACTTCAACTTATACAGCACATTATCTGCAGTCTCCCACCTCTCTGGTTTGTTCCAAAGGCATTCTTCAGCTTCTTCCTAGATATCATCATGCAGTACCACAAAGGCATCTCAAATTCAATGCCAGATATCTCATCTCTTTCTATCCCCTCCCAAGACCTGTTATTCTTTCCTCAATTAATGATGCCAACATTCATCCAATTCCTTTAGTAATAAACTTAATTTCTGATTAATGCTTCCCATATACTGTCAGTGAACAAGTCCAGCTAATTCTCTCCCATAAGGCTCTCTTTTTATTCCTACCATCTTGAGGACAAGAGTTCAAGACCAGCCTGGGCAACATAGCAAGACCCTGTCTCTAGAAAAAAATAAATTAGCAGGACATAGTGGTGCTCCAGGCTTTATCCAGGTCCTTCAGACAAATCACTGAGTGTTGTGTCTGTATTCACTTCTATTTTAACTCTAATACTATCCTTAGGTAACAAAAATCTTAGACTTTTATATGAACATTCAAGACTCTTCTTTTCCTGAATTTTATTTAAGAGGCTTTTAATTCAACTGTTTATTTTACATAGCATTTTTACTTTTGCTTTACACTTTAAAATTGTTTAGTGATTTTTAAAATATAGCATTCTTTTACTTAAGCACATCACTTCAAAAGCAACTGGTGAGTATATACATTCAACCCAATATTTACATTCACTACGTTCAATATAATATGCTAACCACTGTAAGGAAAAAAATTTTTAGTAAAGATGAATTTAACAAGGGCTTTACCTTTAAAGAATTTACAGTCTGTTAGAGGAGATAAGGCTTGTACCTAAATAGCTATAGTACATTATATGATAATTTAAAAATAGGCACAGAAAAAAAACTATCAGAATTATATTCAGAGTTTGCTCTCGCTGAGGAAATCAAAGCAGATTTCATGAAGAAGTCAATATCTGAGCAAGGACTTTAAAGATAAGCAGAATGTGAACTTTTGAATATTTTTTCTTTTCATACACCTTATTGAACCCTACTTGTGTGCAGCACACAGCACTAAGTGCTAGGGATACAGAAATGAACAAAAACAACTTCAAGTTGTTTTCAATCAGTGAGGAAGAAAGATAAAATTGATTATTACAGCAAGGTGAAAAGGAATCATAATGGAGATTTTTTTTTAAGCTACAAAACAATAAAGAAACATCACAAAGATGAAGGCAGAGAACTAACTCCTCTTCAAAGGGAACATCTCTAAGAAGAGAGCCTACTGAAACTTAGCTTAGATTATCAAGTAGCCTAGGTCAAAATGGAGAAGGGTTGGGCAAAGAAGGAAGCATTCCACCAGAGGAATCGAAGACTCAGGGATGGGAAGTTATGAAGTGTGTATTTCAGTGATAAATTAGGAGAGATGAAAGTGAGATGTCCAAGGTGTAGATAAAAAAGGACATTGAGGCTAGGTTGTAGAAAGGTTAAAGGTCAGACTAAGATCTGAAGACACTTCTTAGAAATAGCTTTTTACTGACTAACTGATAGTGCTACCTTATTAGACAGTTGTATACATAGATTCATTTTTACCAGGTAGACCAGAACTTCATTTACTTGAAAATATTTACTTGATATTGTTGGCATCAAGCAGTCCAATCAAGGAATTTTTTTTTTACTTTTGACATTAAAGTTTCACAGTGACTATATTAAGCTTCCCAGCATGCTTTTTTTGGACACATCTTCTTAGTTTACATTTGTGGTAACAGTCACTTTATTTTTATTTGATGAAAACCTCCTATTCACTCAAATGGAAACAAGAACAATGGCTATTCCCAAATATTTCGGGATCTAGTATTCCTCCATTACTGGTAATCATAATTTTCAGCCATAATTAATGTATTAGGCTGAGCTTTGCCTTTGTATTTGGAGCTTTGATAATATAAACTATAACCTACTCTTAAATAACTTTGCTGGGGAAAAAGATTTCAAAGTACAAGGGGAATTCCCCAAAAAACAGAGTTATCTTTTGGAGGGTGGGCTCCTTGGAATACAGGTATCCTCCACTAGGTCAACCAAATGATCAGCCAAAGTTTTTATCTGGAAGTTTTCAGAAAGGTGCATCACAATTTGTGGAAGAAGCATCCCAAATTGTGGCAAAGAGGTGACTGGTTCTTCCACCATGACAACACGCCTTCCCATACCACGCTGAGAGCTCAGTAGTTTTTAACCAAAAACAGCATGACCCCATGCCCCACCCCTCCTATTCACCCCATCTCACCCCAAGTGACTTTTTTTTTTTCTGCTTCTCAGGATAAAAAAGTCTTCAAAGGGAAACATTTTGCCGATGTAGAAGAGGTGAAACAAAAAATGGCAGAAGCACTAAAAGGTATCAAAATTGGCAAGTTCAAAAACTATTCTGAGTAGTGAAAAAAGCATCTCAATTTAGGTGTATGGCATCAAATGGAGAGTATTTGAAGGTGACTGAAGTTTAAACATGTAAGAATAAATATACAATTTTTCATAAATCAATTCCTGCTGGGTTCCCCCTTGTATGTATTCGGCCTCTAGTTTGACTTCCATATATTTGATCACATACAAAAATAAAAATAGTCAATCAAGGAAGTAAATCTATTGATTGTCAAAAAAAGAGTAAATAAAAAAAGTAAAAAATATCTCTTTGTTAGTTTTTTCATTATTAATATTTGGTATCATCACACTTACATTTTGTTATCAAAGAAGCCAAATAAAACTACTCTCCACTGACAAGGGGAATGCCCACATCTCCAACTTGGTTATTTCATCATCTTTTCTGAGGCAAGAAAGAAATGTTTAAGCCTGTCACAGCTTATTGAGAATATCTTTAATTATATATTCATAATGTTTTATTCCAATACTTAGATGAGAATAAACTTCAAGAAGAAATCAATGTTTTAGTTCAGTAGACCTATGTGGGAGGTAGCACAGAATTGTTTATTACCAGAAGGCATATAGGATACTATATACTTTAAAATGATAAAGCATCAAAAAGTCAGTGAAGGCTGAAGAAATAAAGACTAATTGGCACCAAAAATAAAATGCCTATTCTACCAATTTGCATAGGTCCTGGTAGCACAAAAAGACCAACACACCAGTTAAAATGTTCTTCAAACTTTGGGTTGATTGCTAATGCCTGATCTACTAATCCTAAGCAGGGCATCTCGGTACCCACTCATCATGCTCATCATCAAGAAATTAGAGCTTCGCAGCCATGACATACTCTCAAAGCCAGCCTCTGCATTCTTACCATTCTAATTACACCTTGTCAATGTCATCTTATACTTACGTTATACCAAATAACCAGTCAATGGCAAAATCTTTTTTTTTGTCCTTCAAAATTCCTCCCTATCTCTCTGCTTTCCTGCCATCATGGATACGGGTCTTTTCCCATTGTACCAGAGATTCTCTACCTTAAAGGAACCATTCAATCTTATTGCTGAGTTTTGGGGCGGGATATTCTCCCCATTTCACTGAGGTCAGTAGATTTTCCTTAAGGCACAAAGGGGAAAATTGTTTTCCTCACACACTCTTATTTTCTAGTTTTACTACTCTTTTAGTAGTTTAAATCAATGTGTCTACATCTCATATCCAATTAATGTCTTCTCACTAGATTTTTCTTATATCTGAAGTATGCTTCTTGATGCACCTAGCTCACTAAGCACTCTCTTGACTAAAGAAATTTTTAGTATCAATCTTCTCCAAGAGTTGGTTAAAAGAAGGAGGTAATAGTCTCCCAAATCTACTCCAGGTAAATGTATTAAATTTTCTCCTCAGCCAATTCACAGTATAATTGCTTAATTCCTTTTATCTTATGGGTTTATTATCTATGTTTACACTGTGGTAATTTATGACATTGAGATTTTGGTTTTAACATATTTTTCTTTGAGAGTTTGATATGCCTTGAACAGGAAGGCCTTTGCAGACAGCCCAAGACAAAGGCGTATAAACATATATTTTTTTTCTTACAGCAAGAAAACAAAACCTACCTGTCCATGCTTTTGCTGAGGGACCATTCCATGAGCCATTTCAGGATATGATGAGGCTTTGAGACCAGTTCCCCGTGTTTTGGGACGCACCACATCAGAGACTAGACTGGAAGAGATGGCTAGAGACTTAGGCCGAGTGGCTGTGCTGACCGTCCCTCCTGAGGGTCCTTGTTCACCTTTTCTGCTTGTAGCTTCATCTTCTCCTTCAGAGTCCACAACAAAGACATATTCTGCTTTGAAGAGATCACTTTGCTGCATGCCTTGAAGTGTGTTTGCTTTAATTTCCCTTTCTTGAGAAATTGTCTCACTGACCTCTGAAGGATAAGTCGACGTCCCTTGGTCTCTCTCTTTCAAGGTCAAGTAGTCATTGGAATTAGACTGTAATAGATGTAAAGAGATAAAAGCATTGACATTGGTTAATAAATGTCTCTTTTTCGGCATGTACACTGAGAAGCTTTATCTGCATGTAAGGAGTTTTTAAAATACATTAAATTAGGTTGGCTTAAGAGGGACTGAGTTGAAGTTCATGATTCATTTCTACTAGCTCACCTGTTTGTCCTGATCTGAGCTCAGACAACCTGGGGCTCAGAATGGACATCAGCATGCAAACCTAACCATTTTCAAGTGAATTATGATATGATTTTTTTTAAGAGAAAGAGAGCAATGTTTTACATGAAACAAATGGGGATTAGGCAATAGTTCAGTTAATGGTTAAACAAATTATATCTTTTAAAAACCAGGGGAGGAAGGAAATCCCATTGAAAGATTCTAAAATAATACAAAATCTCTTTAAAACTCTGAGAGAAAAAAATAAAACTGGAACAGAATGTATAGATAGTCAGACCAAACAATCTAAGCTAATTGAGAAGAACTCGTGAATAGGACACCAAAAAAAGATGTAGATATTTTTAGCACAAAGTGTTTTTTACTATATTTTGTTTTGGACTTGTAATTCGAAATCTCTTCCCATACGATTTTCTCTGTATATGAATACACAGAGATTTATAAGACCAGGAATAAGATGTCTTTATCAAGCCACCATACTTCTTTTTCTAGAATGACAACAGTCATGTATACTAAGATTGTATTTAAATGATTTGATGTCCATTTTTTTGTTTTGATATTTTTCTTTTATCTGCAACATTTCTGTTTGGCTAAAATTATTTTAATAAAAAGTAAGCCACTAAATAAAATAAACAATTTCAACTATGATGGTCTATTTAATGTGGTCTCATACATATGTGTGATGATAGAAATCCAACCACTAAATAGATATACCTCAAGAGTTTATAATATACACTCATCCCAAAATCCTCAGCTGAAAATGATGATATAGCTAGGATAAAACACAAATTGCCTTTGGTTAGGATTTCTCTGCTTCTATCTTTCACTATTCCTTAACCTGATGTATTTTTATAGCATTTATTACTACCTGGGATTTGATTACAAATTTTTACTTTTCTCATAGTCTGCCTTGTGATAAAAGATATGCCATATGAATTGTCTGTTCAGTTGGAATCCGAACACCAAGAGCAGAGCATGTGTTCAGTAAATAGTTCTTAAGTATATAAATGAATGAGGAATGATGCTACTCTAATGTTGAATTGTTTAAAAACACAGAGAAAAAATTTGAATCTTTTAAAGATGTGGTTGATGCATATTATGGCATTCAGCAGATGAATATTATCATATTAGGAAGCTTTAGAGGTATGCAACCAAGATTGGTTTCTATAGCTGTGGTCTTACAACACTGGTAGGATCTAATAAAAAAGGATCCTATTACTATATTGTATGTAAATGAATATCATTAGGAAGAAATTTGGCAGAAGTGTCATATATAATCTTTATAATTTCTTTGAGATAGTTTGGCCCCATTAGTCCTTCAAATAAAACAGCAGCATTGAAAACCCCAGGATTATGAATATATTACTACTTTCTAGATATTTTCATATAGACAAGGTAAATCTGATTATTTTATCCTTTTCCAGTTGTTTCAAGAATAACACAAAGTTCCTCTAATTTCATTTTATTTTGAATAAAACAATATTAAAACATATTTTAAGAGAAAAATATTCTACTCAAAATTTTATTATTTTATCACACGTCATTCTCAAGCTCTTTTATTTGTATAATTTCAGTTCCAGTCTTGGTCTCATTTTAGATAGTTATAATCAGGATACAATACAATTTTATAGCCTATTTTATCACCTAATATTATAAGGTTAACATCTTATATGGAGTTACATAATTGCCATAATTTTAACTTTGCCAAAGTGATATATTATTATATTCTTAAATTTTCTCTGATTGTTAGATATTAGGCTGCTTTTATTTCTTCCTAATTATTTTCCTACAAAACGTTTTTCTTCTTATGTAATATTTCCCTGAGATACTTTTCCAAGAGTTAGACTGTTGAAAGGTTATGAACAGCTTTATGATCATAGATAAGGGACTTTCACAAAAAAATTGTACAAAGTTATAAAACTAGCAGCAGAATATGAGCATGTCATCATTACCACAACTGCCCCAGCATTGGGTTTGACATATTTTAATGTTACTAACTTATTACAAGTAAATAATAGTGTTTCACTGTTTTATCTTGTATTTTCTTTTGAGACAAATTAAAACATTTAAATTTTTGTTTTTATTTTCTAAAGAAACATTTGGGAGAAGGCTCCAGGAGGCACAATTTGTCATGTGAATAGCAAGCAATAGGGCATCAATTCAAAACAGTTGAGAATAAACCATTAGAAAGAACGTGGGATTTGATAACATTTAGGCTTCTATTGCATTATTGTTTTTAGTCCACCTTAGATTCACAGTCATTTTCATTTAAGTATGGAAGATAAACATTGATACAAATTTCCACATCATTATTATGAACAATTTAATATAATTGTTTGAAATAAAAAAGAATAAAAATCCTCCTACCCTATTTACACTTTCTGGACTCTTATCACTTGGTTCTTCTGGAATTTTAACAAGAAATTTAGAGGTGTCAGCCAACTGAGTGTGGGTTGGTAGTCTTCTGACAGTGGGAACAAATGTGAAGATCAGAGGTTTGGCTTCAGAATCACCAGAAGAGACCTATGAGATACGTAATAAATTAGACTTTCAGTCTTGTCAAAAGTTTATCTTGACTTTGTTCTCCATATGCCATGATATCTACCTCATTTATTTTGATAAATTGCCATTGTCCTGTGATCATGTATAGGGTTGCCAAAGCAAACAATTATAAAAATAGTCATAGTGTATCAGAACCTTTTTTTATGATACCATTTACCAAAGAAAACAGTACAGCCCCAGGAAGATCCTGTTGTAGGATATGGCAATAAAAGAGCAGGTTGGCAAGCTGAGAAGCTGGACTCTTACAGAGCATCTCTAACTCAGTAGGGTCATCACAAACTTATCACTTAGTCTGTTTCAAAATTGACTTTTATCTATTTAACCCTGGGTTAGCAGGTTCAACTACTGACTCACAAGTAAGTCTGCAAGAAAATTCCAGAACTTATCATTAACAAGAATGCTACAATATGAGTTTGAAACTGAAAGCATGACTATCAGAATGCCAGTGTCTCTTCCTAAGGATATACCTTCTCCTTAATTTATTCAAAAGAATGTATTCAAAATAATTTTTTTATTTGTTTTATCTGTGGTAAGCACTCCAGAGGTAGGGGAAAAATGAAGAATAGGAAACAATTTTAAACTAGCCGTAAGTAGAAAAAAGATATGCATAGACAACTCATAGAACAATGATGACGGGTGCCCGCCCAACCTGGGAAGCTGCATAAAAGGCAACACCTGCAATGTAAGTACAGGTGAAGAGGAGGATAAGGATATCCCAGCCAGAAAAAATGAGATGAGGGGAAGCACAGTGGGCAGCAGCAGTGGGAAATGTGTCAAGCTTGGACTTTGTTCTTTGACAACAGGAGCCATTAGAGCATTGTTGATTGAGAAATGACATAGTCATACTAGAATGCTAGATACATACATCTGGTTTTAAAAGTCACAAGGCTAGAGACCAGAACAAAAAGTCAAAAACAAAAACTTGAGGAATAAATGGGAAAGGAAGAAAAAAAAAACAGTACTGTAGACTTCTCTTTCAAGAAGTTTGGATGAGAAGTTAAAAGAAAGGTTGAGAGTCATTAGGAAGATAGAGCCAATGAGGTACTTTTGTTGGTCTTGTAACGGAGTAAATGTGAGCGTATCTATAGCCCAGGGTCGGGGCACAGGGGAAAAGGAAAAGGGAGCAAGGTCTTAGAGGAAGCAGGTGAAATAAGGAAACAAGAGAAGGAACACAGTCTCCTTTGAGACTGGAGAAAATGAACTGAGATGTAGAAAAGTTCACAGATGTGGTAAGGTGCGGAAAGTAGGAAGGGTGAGGTGATGAGAATTGCTTTTGTAATAGATGGCATTGCATGTATTTATCATATAAACATGATATTTTAAAATATATACATTTTGGAATAGTTAAATCTAGCTAATGAACAAACGTATTACCTCACATCATTGTCATTTTTGTGGTGAGAACACATCTACTGTCATTGCAGTTTTCAAGAATGCAATATATTGCCATTAACTATAGTCACTGTGTACAATAGAACTCTTGAAGTCACTCATTTTATTTAACTGTAATTGCATATCCTTTGACCAACATCCCCAACCGTCACTTCCTCCTAACCACCCTAGTCACTGGTAGCCACCATTTGCCCTTTACTTTTAAAAGATCTACTGTTTTAGATTCCACATATGAGTAAACTCATACAGTGTTTGTCTCCCTGTGGCTGGCTTATCTCACTTAGCATAATGTCCTTCAGATTCATCCAGGTTGTTGCAAATGACAGAATTTTATTCTTTTTATGACTGGACAATATTCTATTGTATACATATACACATTTTTATTATCTATTCATTTGTTGATGGATGCTTAGATTGATTGCCTATCTCAGCGCTGTGAATAGTGCTGCAATAAACATGAAAATGCGCAAATCTCTTTGACATACTGATTTTTTTTTTCCTTTGCATATGTACCTGGTAGTGAGTTTGCTGGATCAAATGGTATTTCTATTCTGAATATTTTAAAGAAACTCCATAACGACTGCATTAACTGACATTCTTACCAACAGTGAGTAAATGTTCCCTTTTCTCCACATCCTCACCAACAATTATCTTCTGTCTCTTTTATAATAGTCATTCCAAAAGGAGTGAGGTAATATCTCATTGTGATTTTGATTTGCCTTTTCCTGATTATAAGAGATGTTAAGCATTTTTCATATACCTGTTGGTCACTTTTGTGTCTTCCTTTAAGAAATGTCTATTGCATCTTTTGCCCATTTGTTAATCAGGTTACTTGTTTTCTTGCTATTGAGTAATTTGAGTTCTTAATATTTTGGTTAATAACCAAAATATTAAGTTTTTGGTTCTTAATATTTTGGTTATTAACCTTTTATCAGAAATATAGTTTGCAATTTTTTTCCCATTTCGTAAGTTGTCTCTACATTCTGTTAACTGTTTTCCTTTGCTATTCAGAAGATTTTTAGTTTGATAAAATCCCATCTCTTTATTTTTGGGGTTTTTGCCTGTGCTTTTAAGGTCATATCCAAAAAAATTATTGCACCAACCAATGTCATGGAAATCTTCTCCCATGTTTTCTTCTAGTAGTTTCATAGTTTCTGGTCTTACATTTAAGTCTTTAATCTAATTTGAGTTTATTTTTGTGTATTATGAGAGATAGGAGTCCAGTTTCATCCTTCTGCATGTGGATATCTAGTTTTCCTAATACCATTTATTGAAGAGACTGTATTTTCCCTCTCTTGACATCATTATCAAAAATCGATAATAAATGCATAGATTTATTTCTGGGCCCTTGAATACTATAGCTTTGCAGTATATTTTTAAGTCAGGTAGTTTGATGGCTCCAGATTTGTTCTTTTTGTTCAAGATTGCTTTGACTATTCAGGGTCTTTTATGGTCCCATATGAATTTTAGGATTGCTTTTCTATTCTGTGTAGAATGTCGCTGGCATTTTGATAGGGATTATATAAATAGGTATTCTATAAATATAAGTATTTTAACAATATTAATTCTTCCAATCCATAAACACAATAATTTTCTATTTATTTGTATCTTCTTTTATGTCTTTTATCAATGTTTTATAGTTTTTATTGTTGAGATCTTTCAACTCTTGGTCAAATTTATTTCTAAGTATTTAATTTTTGTAGCTATGTTAAATGAAATTGCCTTCTTGATTGTTTTAGAGAGATCATGTGAGTCTACAGAAGCATGACTAATTTTTTCATGTTAATGTTGTATTCTGTAACATTACTGAATTTGCTTATCAACTCTATCAGTTTCTTTGTGGAGTCTAGGATTTTCTATATATAAGATGCTGTCATGTGCAAACAGGGACAACTTAACTTCTTCCTTTACAAATTGGATACCTTTTATTTTTTCTGTTGCCTAACTGCTTTGACTAGGACTTCCAGTCCTGTGTTGACTAGAAGTAGCGAGAGTGGGCATCCTTTTCTTTTTCGGATCTCAGAATATAGTTTTCAACTTTTTCCTGTTCAGAATGATGTTACCTGTGGTTTTTGTCATATGGAGACTTTACTGTTTTGAGGTATTCATTCTATACCTAATTTGTTGAGAATTTGTATCAAAAAGGAATGTTAAATTTGGGGCAAAAATGCTTTTAATCTATTGAGAAAAATCATATGATTTTCATTTCTCATTCTGTTAATGTGGCATATCAGGTTTATTTATTTGCATCTTTTGTTGAAACATCTTTGCATTCCTGAAATAAATCCCACTCAATCATGCTGTTGGATTCAGTTAACTAGTATTTTGGTGAAAATTTTGCATCTATGTTCATCGAGGATATTATCCTGCAGTTTTTGTTGTATTTTGTCTGGTTTTGGTATCAGGGTAATGCTGGCCTTGTAAAATGAGTTGGAAGCATTCCCTCCTCTTCAATTTTTTGGAATAGTCTGAGAATAATTGGTCTTAATTCTTCTTTAAATATTTGGTATAATTCAGCAGTGAAGCCATCGGGTCTTTATTTGATGGGAGGTTTTTTTTTTCAATTACTGATTCAACTGTCTTATTCATTATTAGTCTGGTCAAATTTGTTATTTCTTCATAATTCAATCTTGGTGGGTTGTATGTGTTCAGGAATGCATTCATTTCTGCTAGTTATTCAATGTATTGTTATATAATGGTTATAGTAGTATTTTATGATCCTTTGTATTTATGCAAGATAAGTTGTAATGTCTCGTTCATCTCTGGTTTTATTTATTTGTTTTCTCTTTTTTCTTTGTCATCATAGCTAAAGATTGCTGATTTTGTCGATCTTTAAAAAATAACTCTCTTTCGTTGGTCAATAACTTTTGATATAATAATTTTCATGATAAAATAAAATCAGCCCCATCCAGTCAGAGTAATACTACCCTTATGCCACATTCATGCCTCTGTCATAAGAAATATGGTATGCCCTGACAAGACCCCCAATTCTCCTCCTTTCAAGTCATGCCACATTCCTATGGCTTGGACCACTAAAACCTTATGACCTTATGGGAATGCCCTTTAACCCAGTTCATGTTAGCACCCATGAGAATCTCAGATCTCTGAGTCTTCCCTGAATCCCTGTTTGCTATGCACATTCTTAGTTGGTTCCCATCTTGGGCCCTGCTTTGACTCTTGAAACCTTTTTACTGTATACTTCCTGGAATCAAGTCAGCCATTAAAAAAACCTTTCATATCCTTATCTTCTCTAAATATCCCTTTTACATTCTAGCTGTAATTAAAACATGGTTTGCTCTAAAGGACTCTGTTTCCTAGGAAGCTCTTTCACTGGTAGCTATTTTTCTCACATTCCTGTGCCACTATGCCTGGAAGTAGGGCAGGTATCCTCCTTACTCCTCTTTACTGCCCCTAGACTGTTCTTCTTTTCTCATACCTAAAAGTCCCAGCTTTGAATCTCACTTCATCAGTCTACATCTTTCACTGCTTCTCTTAGTTGCTGTCATCTGCCTACAACTCTTCTTCTCTTAAAGATTTAGCTCCTGGCTCAATGTCACTCTCTTTAACAC